GAGGATCCTGGTGCGTTAGCCTGGGCAGACAAACCCCAGAGACTCTTATCTCAATTCTCCAGCCAAAGCCAGAACTAGAGGGGTGGCTCAAGTGGTAGAGCACCAGCCTTGGGACAAAAGAGGGCATGAGGTCCCAAGTTCAAGCCCAGTACTGGACACATACACAAACCACACACATGTAGCTTGCTTAGACCCCACTCCCAGTTCCTAAATTAGTACATCTGGGAGATAATGCATTCCCCAAAGAGGCCTCAGGTTATATAGTTCCTTCTGATGCGGGAACCACAGAGAGACATTGGCACAAGCCATTAGTGGAGTCCATCTTGGGCCATGATTATTGTAGCTGCCAATTTTCTACGTGATCCTGCTTAGGACCTTATACAATCCAAAATGAGTTTCTTGACTCAATAGTTGGGGGGGGGGGGTTGGTGAGCTGCCCACTTTACCTTCTATAATACTTCTGGGGTGGCTTCAGATTTGTGTCATGATAACTAGTGGTGGGCCCATAATGTGCACATTGGCATAACCAAGGATCTATACTGTTGCCTTGATCAGTACTGCTGTGCTCTAGCACACTCCTAGTGCTGACCACTGACTTTCCCTCATCTACCCTTTTCTTTTTTTAAAAAAAAAAGTTTTAGTGCCTTTTAATGTGTTTTTTTTTTTGTAAAGATACTGTACAGAGGGGTTACAGTTAGATGAGCAGGGTAATGAGTCCATTTCCTATGGAGCATTGTTACTCCCTCCTTTGTTTTCCTACCATCCCTTTCCTCCTCACCTCCCCAACTCCTCCTCCTCTCCAAAGTTGTAAAGTTCATTTTCAACATAGTGTCTTATACATCTCATTGTTACAATGGGTCATCTTGTATCCTTATTTCAGCATTTTGTTATTTCCCTTACCCTCTCCAAATTAGAAAAATGTATATACAAGATGCAGGACACCAGAATTAAATACACTGACATCAGGGGTTATACCATGGGGGAAGAACATACAAAAGAAACAAAAAAATCACATAGTACTTTATAAGTACCTTAAAAAGAACAGCAAGAAAGAGAAAATCTCTTCTGTCCCTATTTTGGGGTTCATTTTGCTTAGCACCCAGCTTACATGGTCATATGCACATAGCTTTTGACCTCTTCTACTTATCCTAGACATATACTAGTTATTGCAAATAAGGGAAACCATGGGACCTATGTTTCTTTGGGTATGGCTTACTTCACTTAATATTTTTTTCAAGGGGCTGGGAAGGTGGCTCAGTGGTAGAGCACTTGCCTTGCATGCTCGAGGCCCTGGGTTCGATTCCTCAGCACCACATAAGCAAAAAGAAAAAAGCCGGAAGTGGTGCTGTGGCTCAAGTGGTAGAGCGCTAGCCTTGAGCTGAAGAGCTGAGGGACAGCACCCAGGCCCAGAGTTCAGGCCCCACTACCGGACCCCCAAAAAAAAAAATTTTTTTTCAAGTCTTTCTATTTCCTAACAAATAGGGCAGTGTCATTCTTTCTGATGGAGGCATAGAATTCCATTGTGCATATATATATATATATATATATATATATATATATATCCACATTTTCTTGATCCATTCATCTACTGAGGGGCATCTGGGTTGGTTCCGTATCTTAGCTATGATGAATGCTGCTGCGATAAACATAGTTGTGCTGGTAGCTTTAGTATGGCCTTGTTTGTGATCGTTTGAGTAAATTCCTAAAAGTGGGATTGCCGGCTCATGGGGGACATTGACCTTTTTCTGAACTACTAGCAAAGAAGCAAATGCCCTTTATCCCAGGATGTAGCCTATTCTTTCTTGGTATTTGGTGACATCTTGTGGCCAACTGGAGAATCTTCATTCCTATTAGTATGAAGTTTACCCTCTGAGAAAGGCCTCCTGAAAGGCTGGGATGGCAAGGTAATGACTAGCTTAAAGGCTTCAGAGTCTAATTAATCTCTAATTTCTTTCACTGGACTTTGTTTTTCTAGAAAGAATGTCCTATTAAAAAATATCCCTGATTGGGATCAGGAACTATCAAATGGCATGTGCCCCCTATCTCAGGGTATTTCTCTGCATCCTTAGGAATAAAGATAACAATCCAATTCCAGGGTAATCAGATCTACAGGGATTTATAGAAGTTCAGGTGTAACTTATACTGATTTGAGTGCATCCAAGACTTAAGGTCATCTAGACCTGAAACTGGTTAACAATGTGACAGAAGCACAAACAAGATAACCTCATACGGAGGTGCCATAGTGTGAAGGATATTTAAAACACGCTCTTGCTGAGAAACATTGATTCTTTACCTGGGCCCACAAATTGACTATGAGCAGTATAAATGCTAGGATACCAGCCTCTTCCACTTTTTATCTGTGCCCCTGGTCTTGATCCATTCTTTCTTGTGATCACTATGCAGTTATCTTGGAAGTCAAGATGGAGTGGACAAAGAAACCAGACCACTTGCAAGACATCAAGGACTCTTATTGTAACAAGGTCCTTCCTGACCTTTCCTGAGGCAATGGACTGCAAGACTGTTGATGTCACCTATGGCTGGCCACCCCTGAACACCTCTGAACACACCTGTGACCTGGGAATGTTTTCACTTTATCACCTCCTGCCACCAATCCTCCCTATTTAACCCGAAACAATGGACCTACATGAAGGCTAAAGGTATACTGAAGTACTATCTTCCCATGACATGATTCTCTGTGTCTTTTGTTTGCATATAAGGAGCAAATGGCCACATTCCAGTAGTCTGGGCCTGGGATCCAAAACTCTGGTTTCAATTGGTGCTTAGTCTTCATTTGCACGTAAATACTCACATTAGGGCTTATACTTGAAAAGCAATTCCAAATTGCTTATGACAGGAAATGAAAGACAATGAGATATAAAGGAAGTTGTATCTTAAATTACTTTCATGGTTATACCTTTACTATTGAAGAACTCTAAGACAACAGTATTTACACTTCGTTAAGCACCATTGTTGAATGAATCAAAATTTGAAACACAGGGCCTAGCAACCAATCTTTTAATAAGCTCTGTGCTGGGGCTGGGAAGGTGGCTCAATGGTAGAGCACTTGCCTTGCATGCCTGAGGCCCTGGGTTCCATTCCTCAGCACCACATAAACAAAAAGAAAAAAGCCAGAAGTGGTGCTGTGGCTCAAGTGGTAGAGCTTGAGCTGAAGAGCTGAGGGACAGTGCCCAGGCCCAGAGTTCAGGCCCCACAACCGGACCCCCCCCCCCAAAAAAAGCTCTATGATACTGATGCAGTTTGGGAAACATGGGTTCACAAGCTTTAGAGATACTTTTGAAAACCCTGTGTTAAAGGCCCTATTAATGAATTTATGAAACTGAATTATTTCTAAATCAAAGCAAGTAGAATCTTCTTTATGGTACATGAAAAGATTTGCTTTTTACTTCTTTGGATTTTGGCAGAGTGGCTCAAGTGGTAGAGCACCAGCCATAACCTTAAAAGCTAAGGAGAGGGCTGGGAATGTGGCTTAGTGGTAGAGTGCTTGCTTAGCATGCATGAAGCCCTGGGTTCAATTACTCAGTACCATATAAACAGAAAAGGCCAGAAATGGCCCTACGGCTCAAGTGGTAGAGTGCTAGCCAAGTTGAGCAAAAGCAGCTCAGGGATAGTGCCCAGGCCCTGAGTTCAAGCTCCAGGACTGGCAAAAAAAAAAAAGCTAAAGGAGTACCCTGATTTTGTGTTTATGCCCCAGTACTGGAACACACACATACACAAAAAGAACAGTTCTTTGGCTTTGGAAGAATATTGTCTTATAACGTACAGTGTCTTCCTGAGTCCTGTGGAAATAATTTTGAAACAGAAAAATTATTCAATCTTAATGAAAGGAAAATGAAAAACAACAATATCGGAGGTTGGGGGTTGGTGGTGGTGGTGGTCATGGGGCTTGAACTGAGGGCCTGGACACTCACTGTCCCTGAGCCTTTTCGTTTAAGGCTAGAGCTCTACCACTTCAAGCCACTGTGCCACTTCTGGTTTTCTAGTGGTTAATTGGAAATAGCCTCACTGAATTTCCTGCATGGGCTAGCTTTGAACCGCAATCCTCAGATCTCAGCAGCCTGAACAGCTAGGATTACAGGTGTAGGCCACCGGCACCCAGCTAGAATATCACTTTTAACTAATAAACTGGCAAAAATCAATAAATAATGTGTAAGCTGGATGCCAGTGGCTCATACATACAGGTCTAGCTATTTAGGAGGCTGAGATCTGAGGGTTGAGTTTGAAGTCAGCCAGGGCAGGAAAAGTCCATGAGACTCATCTCCAATTTTTCAACAAAAAGCCCCAGGACCAGCGCGCGCGCACATACACACACACAAAGATATAAGGGAAAAATAAATACACATTTCCAGTAAAAGAACAAAAGTACCAAGATCTTTCTGGTATAACAAATCAAAAGGCTTAAAAATGCATATAATACAAGGTGCTGGTGGCTCATGCCTGTAATCCTAGCTACTCAGTAAGATCTGAGGATCGTGGTTCAAAGTCAACCAGGCAAGAAAGTCTGTGAGACTCTCATCACAAATAAACTACTCAGAAGTGGTGCTGTGGCTCAAGTGGTAGAGCGCTAGCTTTGAGCACTGAAAGCCTCAGGGATAGCACCCAGGTCCTGAGTTCAATCCCCAAGACTGGCCAAAAAAATGTATTTTTAACTTAGTAATTGTACTTCTAGGAATATGTCTTAGAAATGACATACATGGGCTGAGAAGGTGGCTCAGTGGTAGAGCACTTGCCTTGCATGCCTGAAGCCCTGGGTTCGATTCCTCAGCACCACATAAGCCAGAAGTGGCGCTGTGGCTCAAGTGGTAGAGCGCTAGCCTTGAGCTGAAGAGCTGAGGGATACCGCTCAGGCCCAGAGTTCAGGCCCCACGACCGGACCCCCCAAAAAAAAAAAAATGACATACATAAGAATAGCAAGGTAATTAAAAGTCAACTATAGTGTGCCCACACACAGAATTTTTTTAAAAAAAATAACACTACAAAGATTATTTTTCCAGTTTTTAAAAGGAAGGTTTATTTAACAAGTTTCACTTAGTACAATACACCTAAATGGAAATCACAATACAAGGTAAGATTTAAATCAAAGCCTCAGATTTTCATACAAATGACATGACCAAACTTATAAAGTATTGATATTTCATCTCGAAATTATCCCAGGTCTTAAAAAAACAAAAGGAAAAATGCACACTCACGTGCCTTACAAGATATTAAACCAAAAAGCTAGAATTAACAAACATGCCAAATGTTTTCACTTTGAATCGTAGACACAGCTCCTATATTTGAGTTTTAAAGAAGAGCATGTTTCTCAACATGCATCTGAAGTTTTCAATGTACTGTGGTATAAGAGCAACATTTAACGAAGTGAAATTGCTTTAACCTAAATATGCTTACTGCTTAGGTACAGTCCTACAACATAACTAACTTGAGGAAAGCTGAAAGTTGTTTTTAACAGTTATGGTCAATACTGAACTTTGTTATTATGTCCTAGGTGAATGTTTCAGTGTTCAGAATTACTGACCTTAAAGTTTTAGACAATCTTTACTTCCACTTTACAGTAAGCATAAACCACAAGCTTGTAATGCAAAACTATTGAACTTAAACTTTGTTTTTTTTAAAAAAGGAAAAAAATGAAAGGAAGGAAGGAAGAAAGAAAAAGAAAGGTAACCAAGTAATCAACTGCATTTCCCATGTACCAATCATACTGGATATACTAGACATCCCTCCCTTTCTATCTGACTTATATAAATGCACAGCTTTTATCTTATCCCTGTAGTAGCTGTTCAGTGCTCCTTCTCCACCTAAGCGAGGTTTGACTGATAGTCACTGGAGTTTTCCTGCAAAACTTGGTCATACCCACTCATACTGCTCTGACCACCATAGCCACCTCCATAACCACCACTCAGCTGCTGGCTAGCAGGACCTCCATAACTAGACTGGTTGGACAAGCCCATTCCTCCCATCATTTGGCTACCATAAGCACCACTACTTGCCCCTGCTGTAGAATTCAAGAAGAGTTCTACATAACTGTGATCATAAGCTCCTCCACTTGTTCCTGCAGTAGAATTCAGGAAGAGCTCCACATATCTATGTTGCATATTTGCTTTATCTTTTGCCATAGCTGCCACAGCATCTTCATGGGTAGCAAATTCAACATCAGCCTCACCGGTGACTCTACCATCGGGACCAATTTCGATGTGTACTCTCATAGGATTAAGAGGTGAGAAAAAATTATAAATATCATTTTCAGTGGCTCTGTAAGGTAACCCCCTCATGTGTACGCAATGCCCTGTGGTACTCTGGAAACTGGATCCACCATCTCCATATCTATGATCAGACATTCCTGAGAAACAGTAATTGAGGTCTCTTCCAAATCTATCAGACCCAAAGCCATACCCGTCATTATAGCTACTATAGTCATCATAACCTCCATAGCCTCCACCATATGCACCCCGCCTCATCCTTTCAAACCCAGCTCCTCTACCAATGCTATTATACCCTCTGCCAGTCCCTGGCCTATCATAAGGACCTGGACGTTGCATAGCCATGAGCTTTCGAGGGGGATCATAGTGGGTTCGGACTTCGGCTCTGCTACTCTTGAAGATTTCAATGTACCTGTGCCCTATTCGTTCCTTGTGTTTCTTTAAGGCTTTTTCAGCTATCTCCTGTGAAGCAAATTGCACAAAGGCCTCCCCTGTGCTCCGCCCCTGAAAGTCCACCGGCAGTGTCATCCCATTTGGCACAATTTCCAACCCTGAAAAGAACTGAACAATCTCTTCTTTGCTACAGCCAAATGGGAGTCCTCTAAGCCGGACAAAGCCATCATTAGCAGTATCAGGACTATTTGGACCCGTATGCTTCAAGACCCAATCCATTTCAACACTGTTGGATTTGAATACTTCAACATATCTGTGTCCCATTGTTTCTCTGTCCTTCTTCAAAGCCAGTTTCACTTCATCTTCCGATTCAAGTTCAACAAATGCTTCGCCACTTGGTCTGCCTTCTCTGGTGTAGATGAAACGAATGCCTGATGTGCCATTCTGGATTTTGCAATCAGAGAAGAAGCGCATCACTTCATCCGCTGAGCAGGACCAGGGTAGGCCCCTGACCTTCACCACGAACCCCTCCCTGCCTTCTGTGCTCAGCATCATGGTGACTGCTGGGATTCTTAACAGCAAGCTCGGCTCAATAACAATGCCAATGTGGCTTTAAAAAATAAAAAGACTTGTTATGGAAAAATACGCACAATATAGTAAAAGAAAAAAGCAAACTATGAAATTCAATCACATTGGTAGCATTAAAAAATCCACACAAACTTGTACCGAATAACCCATTCATTCAATAATTATTTACTCCATACCTATTATGTATATATTTCTGAGTAGTAAGATTATGGGAACGGGGCTGGGAAGGTGGCTCAGTGGTAGAGCGCTTGCCTTGCATGCCTGAGGCCCTGGGTTCGATTCCTCAGCACCACATAAGCAAAAAGAAAAAAGCCGGAAGTGGCGCTGTGGCTCAAGTGGTAGAGCACTAGCCTTGAGCTGAAGAGCTGAGGGACAGCGCCCAGGCCCAGAGTTCAGGCCCCATGACCGGACCAAAAAAAAAAAAAGATTATGGGAACATCTAGTTTCAGAGAACTTTTTTCCATTTTGGACATTTTTATTCAGTTTTCTGTATTGAAAATGTATTAGCATCATAGATAGAAAGTGAAAAACAAAAAGTAACATTAAAAGCCAATGAACACCCAAGTGCCAGTGGCTTATGCAAATAATACTAGTAACTCAGGAGGCTGAAATCTGAGAATCATGGTTTAAAGCCAACCCAGGCAGGAAAGTCCATGGGACTCTTATCTCTAGTTAACCACAAAAACCCCTCAGATGTGGAGCTGTGGCTCAAGTGGCAAAGTACCAGCCTTGAGCAAAAAGGTGACGGCTACTAAGCTCAGAGTTCAATTCTCAATACCAGAAAAAAAGACCAGTGAACATTCAACTAATGAAACATAACTTTACCCATTAACATAAAAATGAAGGAGGCTGGTAATGGGGCTTAGTGGTGAAGTGCTTGACTAGTATGCATGAAGCCTTGGGTTTGATTCCTTAGTACCACACAAACAGAAAAAAATGCCAGAAGTGGCACTGTGGCTTTAAGTGGTAGAGTGCTAGCCTGGAGTGAAATGAAGCTCAGGGACAGTGCCCAGGCCATGAGTTCAAGCCCCATTACTGGCAAAAGAAAAATGAAGAACTTCCTTATATCAAAAGTATAATCTAATATAATTGGAAAGCATATACAACTCCTATAGTACCCATGAAAAATCTGTTTATAACCTCATAATATAACCTCATATAACCTGCATAAATATGGGCTGGGAATGTGGCTTAGTGGTAGAGTGCTTGCTGCATAGCATGCATGAAGCCCTGGGTTCAATTCCTCAGTACCACATTAACAGAAAAGGCCAGGAGTGGTGCTGTGGCTCAAGTGGTAGATTGCTAGCCTTGAGCTAAAGAAGCTCAGGGACAGTGACCAGGCCCTGAGTTCAAGCCCCAGAGCTAGTGCAAACGCAAACACACACACACACACACACACACACACACACACACACACACACTCACAATGCATAATCAATAAATCAAGAGAACTATTAAGGCCTAAATGATAAATGGAAAAAGACATTATTGGGAACTTGAATATTGAGAGGTTTTAGGTGCCAAGTCCTAGCCATGGCAGAAAGAATCAATAAATGCTGAAAGGTTTTATGAGCGTACGGGGGTGCTCTATATCTTCACCAAATATATGAAGGCGAACATACATTACAACTGATGGCAAAAAAATCTGTGCAGGGTATTAAGATAGAACAAAAGATGGACTAATTGGGCAATTTAATCAGTTGGAGGCAGGCAAAATGGTAAAGTGAAACAAACCTGTCCAGGAATACCTAAAAACTTAAAATTCTGACAAGCATAAAATGGGATAAAGCAAAAAAAGAGATAAGGCTGGCAAGAGGGAGAACAGATCTTGAAGGCTCTATTTAATTTACAACTGCTAAGGGCCTTGTATAGATTTTAAACAGCAATGATGTCACCGCAACACTTCCAGACAAATCACCCAGGCAACTGTGTGACACTCAAACAGAAGGGGGTCTAGGTAGAGTGAGCTAGATTTAGATTAGTTAGAATGATTTCTTAGAGATGATTAAGGGATTCACTACAACAGCTAAAAAAAAAAAAAGGGAAGGAAAATGGGATCTACATATATTAAAAAAAATAGAATCTGCCAGGTACCAGTGGCTCACCTTGTAATCCTAGCTACTCAGGAGGCTGAGATCTAAGAAACTCAGCAGTTCAAAGCCAACCCAGGCAGGAAAGTCAGTAAGACTCTTATCTCCAATAAATTACAAAAAAAGCCAGTAGTGGGCTGGGAAGGTGGCTCAGTGGTAGAGTGCTTGCCTTGCATGCATGAGCCCTGGGTTCAATTCCTCAGCACCACATAAGCAAAAAGAAAAAAGCCAGAAGTGGCACTGTGGCTCAAGTGGTAGAGTGCTAGCCTAGAGCTGAGGGACAGAGCACAGGCCCAGAGTTCAGGCCCCACGATCGAATCCCCCTACCCCCCCAAAAAAGCAAGTAGTGGAGCTATGGCTCAAGAAGTAAGAGTGCTGAGGCTGGGAAGGTAGTTCAGCGGTAGAGTGCTTGCCTTGCAAGCATGAGGCCCTGGGTTTGGTTCTTTAGCACCACATAAACAGAAAAGGTGGGAAGTGGCACTGTGGCTCAAGTGGTAGAACACTAGCCTTGAGCTGAAGAGTTCAGAGACAGCACCCAGACCTAGACCACGACCGACCAAAATAAATAAATAGAGTGCTAGCCTTGACAAAAGCTCAGAGACAGTACCCAGGCCAAGTTCAAGCTTCAGGACCAGGACAAAACAAGTGTAATCCTAGATACTCAGGTGGCTGAGAGCTGAGGATCATGGTTCAAAGCCAGTCCATGCAGGAAAGTCCAAAAGACTATCCTCCAATAAATTACCCTCCCCCTCCCCCAAAAGGCTGGAATTAGAGCTCTAACTGAAGTGATAGGATGCTACCCTTGAGCAAAAGAAACTCAGGAACAGCACCCAGGCCCTGAGTTCAAGGCCAAGGACCAGCACCAAAAAAAGGTAGAATCACAGGACTTGACAAAAGTGGTGAATAAATGTATACAAGGATACAAGAGAGAAGTCTGAAAAATGTTCAGACCTTATCAATAGTTAGAAACAATCCCTATTTTACAACCACCATGATAGCAGAAATTAAGTAGTGACAATAAGTTAACACTATTCATACTATTCTAGAAAGTAATTTGGTAATATCTACCACATGTTTCAACAGTAAATCTACTTCAGGGTATGTACCTTAAGGAGATATGAGATTCAGACTAAGATTTACAAAGCTATATCTTCTATGAATGATATTTTATTAAGGATAAAGTTACAAAATCTTAAGTGTCCTAAGATCACCACTACTTTATTCTTGTAACTATGTTTAAAAACAAATGTTTACTCTCTGGCCTGCTAAAATAATTTTAGGAAAACAGATGTACAGAAAAAAAACTTACAAATATTCAATGTAGCCATTGTAATGTCAGATGCAACTTAGAAATCTAAATAGACATTTAAAGAGAAATAGCTAAATGAATTATATTTTATCCTTAAAACAGCATGCTATATAGTCATTTAAAAAAAAAAAAACAATCAAAGCCCAGCACTGGTGGCTCATGCCTGTAATCCTAGCTACTCAGGAGGCTGAGATTTGAAGATCGCGGTTCATAGCCAGCCCAAGCAGAAAGTCCTTGAACTACCCAAAAGCCAGAAATGGAGCTGTGGTTCAAGTGGTAGAGCAACTAGCCCTGAGCAAAAATGCTTGATGACAGCAGCCAGGCCCCAAGTTAAAGTCCCAGGACACACACACACACACACACACACACACACTTACTTTTCTGACCTAGAAACATTTTGAAATACATTAAATGAAAAAATATGCACAGTATACTACTTATGGCAAAATATAAACATGCCTATATGTACATAAATGTGTAAACAGAAGATCTGGAAATTTACTTTCTTGTTTTTTTTTGTTGGTCATGGGACTTGAACTCTGGGCCTAGATGCTATCCCTCAGCTCTTCAGCTCAAGGCTGGTGCTCTACCACATGAGCCACAGTGCCACTTCCAGCTTTTCTGTTTATGTGGTGCTGAGGAATCGAACTCAGCAGGGCCTTATGCATGCGAGACAAGCACTCTACCACTGAGCCACCTTCCTAGAGCCCAGATTTACTTTTTTCTTATGAAGAAAGTGAGATAGGGAGAATAAAGTGAGATTTTCCCTTCTTATCCTAATTTTAGTTCTTTAAGTTCATTGCATTGAAAAAAATAACAAAAAAATTAAAAATTAACAAATAAAAATTAAAAATTACAATTAAGAATAACAAAGCCAGGCACCAGTGGCTCACGCCTGTAATCCTAGCTACTCAATATTGAGATCTGAAGATCACAGTTCAAAGCCAGCCTGGGTTGAAAAGTCCCTGTGAGACTCATTATCTCCAATTAACCACCCCAAAACTGGAGGTGGAGCTGTGGTTCAAAGTGGTAGAGCGCTAGCCTTGAGCAAAAGAGCTCAGGGACAGCATCCAGGCCCTGAGTTCAAGGCCTCACAACCAACAAAAAATAACAATTAGAAAAATACATCAAATGCTAACAGTAATTAAATGGTAGGTATATTGCTTTTTCAATTTTTTTCAAAAAATTTTTGTGCCTTTTTTTTACTGAAAGAAAAAAATGTTTTTACTTTAAAAAATGTTTAGTTTCTGGGATTTGGAATTGCAACTTTATAAAAATCCTCAGATTTTATATGTCGATGCTTTTCTGATATGGTCTAGTAATTCTGGGCTTCTTGGAAAGATGGTAAAACGTATACTAATGACCATACAGAAAAGCACATTGAGGACACAATTCCAGTATTTATGAATTGCCTATTATGTGCCTGCATCTGTAGTGGTTAACATTTCCTACAAACCATCCTAAATCACAGTGCAGAACATCCCAGAATGATGACGACGGTGACTTCTGCAGCGCTCTGCCTCAACAGCCCAGCCCTTATGCTAGAAGCCCCTATTAGGAGCAGACTACATCTTCTGGGAAGGCCACCAAGGCTCTGTTGCTTAAAATAGGAGCCAGGATCCCATTTGTAAGTTAAAAATTTGTGTACTTATTGCGTGTGTTTTACATACACTTAAAAAAACTCTAACGACATAAATTTTAATTATGAATTACGTTCATCTTTAAATTTATACCGTTATTTTGGTATTTTTCAGATGACCAAAATTTAACATGTAAGCTGCTGTTATAAGCAGAAAAACAAACGTTATTCAAATACCCAAGCCAAAAAACAAAAACAAAAAACGTTAACTGGACACCTCGGTCAGGCACGCAGCACTTAAGTAGATGTGACTACTGATATAATTTACCTGGGGGCTCCCGCGACAAGTAAGCAGTAGATAAGAGTGCTTGAATGGATGGACCACCAATGGTCTCGATGTTTTCCTTAATTCAGGTAAGTAGTTTTCAAACGTTTTTCACCTTCGGTCCCTATTGGGGCCCTCTGAGAGGAGCCCAGACACAAAAATAAACAAACACACACTCAGTCTCGACGGCCCACCATTTCCCCACCAGACGCAGCTAAGGCGGTTTCCCAGCACTGTGGAGCGGGGGGAGGGGGGACGGGGGGGGAGGGGAAAGCGGGGAACGAAAAAGGCGGAGGCGTCCCCCGAACCTCGCTTTGGTCTTTAGCATCACCATCCCCGGATCCTCAGTTCACACACACACACCAACCTCTCACGAAACGGGTAATTTTCCTCTTTCTTCCCTCAAACGGTTATAGCGAGACGGTTGACGACGACCAGAACTACTTCTGCTCACGTAAGCGATTGTTCACGTGAGCACCTACGTCATGTGAGATCTCGGTCACGTGAGCAGCTTTCCGCTTAAACTCGGGATCGCGAAGTTGCCGCACTTCTTCCGGTATTGAAATGGGGCGGGCCAATATGATAAAAAAAGAAGATCGTGATTGGTTGGTGAAATACGTCTTACGTGACTGATCATTGGTCTACTTCTGGAGTTAACCTCCCAGTTGCCTGAGAAACAATGACGTATTTGTTTAATTACTCGTCAGTGATTGGTCTGCCCATTAGGGAAAACTTAAAACTCAGGTTGCCCGCTGAAGTCTGTCCTGAATACTCTTGGTGGCTATGAAGTTCAGCAGCAGTCAGCGACTGGGTTCTGTTCTTGCCCTTTTCTTTTTCGCCCTAGTTTTCTGGGATGTCCTTGGGGTCAGGGCACTGGACAATGGATTGGCGAGGACTCCTACCATGGGCTGGCTGCACTGGGAGCGGTTCATGTGCAACCTGGACTGCCAGGAAGAGCCTGATTCCTGCATCAGGTATCAGATATTGGGTGGTTACTTCCTCTCGCTTTTCCATGTGTTTGTCTGAGTGTGTTTGGAGAGTCTCAACGGGAACATCTGAGTCTGAAGGAGAGCTCCCTTACTGTTGCTTTGAAAAAAATCCTTACCAGGCGCCGGTGGCTTACGCCTGCAACACTTAACTATTCAGGAGGCTGAGGTCTGCGGATCTATTTTCGAAGTCGGTCGAGGGCAGAAAAGTCCGAGACACTCTTCTCTCTAATTAACTACCGGGAAAAAGCCGGAAGTGGCGCTGTGGCTCAAGAGCGCTAGCCTTGAGCATCAAGAGGCTCTGGGACTGACAGAAAACCAAAAACAAACAAACTGAGGTGCAGTCTTGGAACTGTGCGTGTGTGGTATGATTCCTGGGGAGGGTGTCTAATAGTGCTAGATTTTCTTCATATATCATTTGTTCTATTGGTTCCATTTAACCTAGCACAAACACAACTGTAGAGGATAAAGACAAGTGACTAAGACTTGTGTCATTTGTTTTTGAGGGTCATTAGTTCCTTAGGTTCAGGGAGTTAGAAAAACATTGGAGTCTGAAATCTCCCTCACCTCTTTGTCCTTGAATGTGGCAATCAGGCTGGAAGGTAGACCTGGGGAGATTTTACACATCAAATAATTGAGGCTCTACTTAGCATACCTAATCCTCACTATCCTTGTCTAGAAATTGGGGTGATATCTTTTTTAACTCGGAGATCTGACGCAGAAAGAGCTATAATTTCAAATCAACCGACAACAAAAACGCTGGAATGGAGAGGTGACTCAAGTAGTAGAGCCCCAGACAAAAATGAGTGTATAAGGCTGAGTTCAAGCCCTGGTATTAGCACAAAGAAAATTAGTCAATTAAATGTAAAAAACTGGTGCTGAAATATATAGCCCAGTGGTAGAACAATTGCCTAGCTATGTGAGGATGGCCTAAGTTCAATTCTGAGCACCTCAGAAAAAATGCAAGTGATACTTACTTGATTGGCAAACCTATATGACAAAGCCAGTGTTAGGTCATTTGTAAGGGAAATAGGTATTCTTACACACTGTTGTTGGCAACAGTAAAATCTTTGGGAAGGATCATTTGACATGTATCAAAATAATATCTTTGGACTCTAATTGAGCAGAATCCCACAGACTTTTATGGCATTCAACTGCCATTCTCTGATCTCAGCATCCTAAGTAGCTAAGATTACAGGCATTTGCTTTTCTTCCACCAAGCCACATTCTTTTTAAATTTTTTATTTATTTTTTATTGTGAAAATACTGTACAGAGGGGTTACAATTACATGGGCAAGATAATGAGTACATTTCTTATCAAGCATTGTAGCCTCCTCCTTTGTTTCCCCTTCCCATCCTTTCCCTCCCCCCCCCCCCCAAGCCACATTCTTGTCCTATTGGTTTAGAGTTTTGGTGGCAGAGGTACTAAGGAAGTAGGAGTGAGAAAATAATTGGAAGAACAATTAATTTTTACCTTGTCTTGATGGCGAGTACCACATTATTACTAGAATTTTAAAAATTATGCAATCTCACCAGGCATTGGTGGCTCATACCTGTAATCCTAGCTACTCAGATTGCCATCTAAGAAGCAGGGTTTGAAGCCAGCCAAGGCAGGAAAGTCTGTGAGACTCAATCTCCAATTAAGCACCAGAAAAACAGAACTGAAGCTGTGGCTCAAGAAGTACAGTACAAGCCTTGAAACTCATGCCCAGGGCCTGAGTTCAAGACCCAGTACTGGTAGGAGGGGGAAAAAAAAGAAATCTCAAGGAGTACCTAAGTATTCATTTAATGAATTGTAATAATTATTGGAATTACTATTTCAGTGAACAGCTTTTTATGCAGATGGCAGAGCTCATGGTCTCTGATGGCTGGAAGGATGCAGGTTATGAGTACGTATGTATAGATGACTGCTGGATGGCTCCCCAAAGAGATTCAAAAGGCCGACTTCAGGCAGACCCTCAGCGATTTCCTGGAGGGATTCAACGCCTAGCTAATTATGTGAGTTTACAGATGATTTTTTTTTTCATTCAGGAGTTTGTAAGCAATTCCATATAGAGCATGTTGAGAAATAGTCCTCATGACACTTAGAAAACTGAATGGTTGTTAAACATTGAATTGTTAAGCTTATCAGGTGGAACTTTCATCCATAAGCATATATGTTTTGCAATATCTCAAGGTCCATCTTGGAGAGGGTTTGTTTTTTTTTTAAACGATAAAAAGAGGTAGGCGAGTAAGAACAGCAGCACGCACGTGGTATTCAGGTAAGGGGTAGGTTTATTCAGTAGACCTGCTGGGACGAGACAAGGTTGGCACTCCACGTGGCTGGGAAAGGCCTGGGAATGAGAGAGAGCTGGGAAAGAGAGGAAAGAGAGAGGAAAGAGCTAGAGCAGAGAGAAAGCAGAGAGAGCTAGAAAAGAGCAACAAGAGCTTGAAGAGGGTTTTTTGATGAAACAGTTGATTTTTTTTCTAGGAGGAAAAGAAACTTGGTTCTTGTTATGTATGTACATATATTTTCATACAAGCATTGGATAGCTATTTTAGAACACAGAAGTAAAATGTTCTGGATATTGTTCATGAGTATCAGAGCCCAACACTAGCTAAATGTAATGAAGACAGGTTTTACACAGTACTATTGTAATAGGCAGAATAGCCAAGCTCAAATCCAAATGCAACAAAAAGCAATGAGGCTTTGCAGGGCGCCGATGGCTCATGCCTGTAATCCTGGCTACTCAGGAGGCTGAGACCTGAGGACCAACGGTTCAAAGGCAGCTGGGCAGGAAAGTCCAGGAGACTTTTACCTCCAGTTAACCACCAGAAAACCATAAGTGGCACTGTGGCTCAAAGTGGTAGAACACTAACCAGTGAAAAGCTCAAGGACCATACCATACCTAGGCCCTGAGTTCAACCCCCACAACCAACAACAACAAAAAGAACAGATCTAATGAAGACATCAAGAGTGACCAAGACTTGGCAGGATTTTTGTTCAAAATGAGGTTGACCTCACTGGGACATAGTCAAGGCCTACTTGAGAGAACTCAGAGAAGCCTAAAGAAAGCTTAGTTGAAGAATCTTGATAAATTTATTACTGTCCTGGAAAAATACTGTTTAGCATCTTATAAGGAACATTAGAACAGCTGATAGCTTTCTCCTCAGTTCTGCCTTGTAGCTTACATATATAGTTTGATCTATCTCAACAGAATTGAGTGATTTATTCCTCTTTATGTGTGTCAGCCCCAGGGCTTGAACTCAGGGCCCGGCGGCTAGTTTTGAGCTTTTTTTTGCTCTGGGATAGCATGCTACCACTTGAGCCACAGCTCCATTTCCGGCTTTTTGGTAGTTCATTGGAGGTAAGTCTCATGGACTTCCCTGCCCAGGCTGGCATCAAACCATGATGTTCAGATCTGTCTTCTGAGTAGCTAGGATTATAAGCATGAGCCATCAGCACTCACCTTAGAATTTGTTCTTTACCACCAACAAACTAATCTGCAAAAGGTGTTTGTGGAAAAATGCCCCTAATACTTAGTTAAGCACACTTGTCTCTGCTCTCAGCCTGGAATTTTGCTACTTCTTGATTGCCCTTTTATTGTGGAGACTTTTTCATCTCATTTCAGGTCCACAGCAAAGGACTAAAGCTAGGGATTTATGCAGATGTTGGAAATAAAACCTGTGCAGGCTTCCCTGGGAGTTTTGGATACTATGACATTGATGCCAAGACCTTTGCTGACTGGGGAGTAGATCTGCTAAAATTTGATGGCTGTCACTGTGACAGTATAAACCTTTTGGCAAAAGGTAAGTTTCACTGAAGAGATTTAGCCATAAGCAAAGAGGGAAACTTTGAGACTAAGAACTAGTCAAAGAACTAATTATTGTCAATGTATCAGATCACTCACCTCTTCTCTTTTGGTTTGTTTATTCCTTTATATGGAATCCATGCACACCTAATCATGACTAACATTGTGAACTTTTAGTTCAACAGGACAGCAAATTCATTGTGAATAGTAATTATATTTAGGAAAAAAGTCTAGGATATCACACAGTGAATGAAAGAAGTACCTTCTTCCTGCTTTTCCTCAATATACACATCACCTCTGCACTGTCTACACAGAATAGTCCCAACAGTTTCACACACAGACTACACTATTGGAGCACAGAGCAAACACTTGCCCCTGCCACTGGTTTAAAATACAAACAGATGTACTTTCAGGCAGCATCTTAAAATTTGTAGTACTAGCTGGAATTTTCCTTTCTTTCCCTTATTTTACCCATTGTTTTCTCATGCAGGTTATAAGCACATGTCATTGGCCCTGAACAAGACTGGCAGAAGCATTGTATACTCCTGTGAGTGGCCTCTTTATATGTGGCCCCTTCATCAGGTGAGCTAGTGAGCCCTATCCAAATTTTCTGAACTTGAAAAGAAAGATGAATCCCCTTCAAAACCCAATCACATCTTCACCATCCCCAGTGTCATAATTATAGTGTAAGTTCGCAACCTTTAGAAATAATTATTCTCTTTACTTCATTCATCACCCATATCAGCATCCTACTAGAACTACCATCTCATTTACATATATATAATCTTGAATCAACTCACTTCTTTATATGTGCTGCATTCTACCCTCACCTTCCAAGCCACTCATGTCTCAGTGTCTCAGCCAGACTACTCTGATAGCATGGTCTCTCTACTTCTACTCTCTGTAACCCCATAGATTTTCCAGCGTCTGTCCTACAATGATGACTTTCCGGGGCTGGGAAGTTGGTTCAGTGGTAGAGTGCTTGCCTCGCATGCATGAGGCCCTAGGTTCGATTCCTCAGCACCACATAAGCAGAAAAAAGCCGGAAGTGCTGCTGTGGCTCAAGTGGTAGAGTGCTAGCCTTGAGCTGAAGAGCTCAGGGACAGTGCCTAGGCCCCCATGAACCCACAAAAAAAATGATGACTTTCCCTCACCAAACTGTTTTTCTATCCAAAAACACCATCAATCAATCTTTTTACACTTGCTTTTTGTTTCCTACCAGCAACCTTTTCCCCCCAAGATTTTTAAAGCATTGGTTGGCTCTTTAACATTGCAATATCATACCAGATATCTTCACTTACTACTTTACTAGCTTTCTGTCCATTCTTTACCACATTCATATGTTTAATTGCATTCTCTGGGGCTGGGAAGGTGGCTCAGCGGTAGAATGCTTGCTTTGCATGCATGAGGCCCTGAGTTTAATTCCTCAGCACCATACAAGTAGAAAAAGCCAGAAGTAGTACTGTGGCTCAAGTGGTAGACTGCTAGCCTTGAGCTGAAGAGCTGAGGGACAGTGCCCATGCCCAGAGTTCAAGCCCCATGACCCACCAAAAAAAAAATTAATTGCCTTCTCTGAACTCAGCTTTATTCTTTCACTTAACATTGTTTGTTTTCCCACTACACTGTCAATTTCATCAGTGAGAGACCTTGATTTTATCATTGTATCTCAAGTAAATTGCAGGTATAAAATAATTACTTGTGGGGTAAAACCCTATTATTTCTTTGAAATATCTGCAGTTGGTCTCATGTATTCCCCAGCATCTTAAACCTCATACATTGCACCTATTCACAAGCTTTTATTTGTTCTGTTAACAAATTATATGCCTAACATTCAGGTTGTATGTTTGATGAAATACTGTTGCATTTTGCAGCTTATTTTTTGCTTTATGTCATTTTAGTTATTTTGGTTAAAAAGGGATACATGCTTATTTTAGGAAAGTATGAAAATGCAGTTAAGTTCCAAGAAAATATTACAAATCCATAATGCTAATACTTAGATAACAATTGGGAAATTTCCAGCATAAACAGTATTAAAGGGCTGGGAAGTTGGCTCAGTGGTAGAGCGCTTGCCTTGCATGCCTGAGGCCCTCGGTTCGATTCCTCAGCACCACATAAGCAAAAAGAAAAAAGCCCAAAGTGGTGCTGTGGCTCAAGTGGTAGAGTGCTAGCCTTGAGCTGAAGAGCTGAGGGACAGCACCCAGGCCCAGAGTTCAGGCCCCACGACTGGACTCAAAAACAAAACAAAACAAAACAAAAAAAACAGTATTAAAATCTTAAGATTTTATATGTTGTCTACTACTGAAGCAAACTTTTTACAATGAAATTCCTTTATAAAATTTATATTTCTGTGGGTTGGGAAGTTGACTCAGTGGTAGAGCGCTTGCCTTGCATGCATGAGGCCCTGGGTTCGATTCCTCAGCACCACATAAGCAAAAAGAAAAAAGCCCAAAGTGGTGCTGTGGCTCAAGTGGTAGAGTGCTAGCCTTGAGCTGAAGAGCTGAGGGACAGCACCCAGGCCCAGAGTTCAGGCCCCACGACTGGACTCAAAAACAAAACAAAACAAAACAAAAAAAACAGTATTAAAATCTTAAGATTTTATATGTTGTCTACTACTGAAGCAAACTTTTTACAATGAAATTCCTTTATAAAATTTATATTTCTGTGGGTTGGGAAGTTGACTCAGTGGTAGAGCGCTTGCCTTGCATGCATGAGGCCCTGGGTTCGATTCCTCAGCACCACATAAGCAAAAAGAAAAAAGCCAGAAGTGGCGCTGTGGCTCAAGTGGTAGAGCGCTAGCCTTGAGCTGAAGAGCTGAGGGACAGCGGTCAGGCCCAGAGTTCAGGCCCCACGACCTGAACCAAAAAAAAAAAATTATATTTCTGTACCCATTGTCTTGTATATAAGCTTATCTGATCTATGGAAAGGGAATAACAGAAACAGCAGGACAAAGGATGAACTAATGCAACAATGATACTCACTAGACACTATATTGGAAATGAACTTTACAACTTGGGAGGGAGGGAAGTAAGGAGGGTTAAGCAGGAAAAAATGAGAGAGGGGTAATGGTGTTTAAAAAGAAATCTACTCATGTTACTTTTGTAACTGTAACCTCCTTGTTCATCACCTTTACAGTATTTTCTTTTTCCTTTTTTTTTTTTTTGGGGTCCAGTCGTGGGCCTGAACTCTGGGCCTGGGCACTGCCCTCAGCTCTTCAGCTCAAGGCTAGCGCTCTACCACTTGAGCCACAGCGCCACTTCCGGCTTTTTTTTTTGCTTATGTGGTGCTGAGGAATCTAACCCAGGGCTTCATGCATGCAAGGCAAGCGCTCTACCACTGAGCCATCTCCCCAGCCCTACAGTATTTTTTTTTTAAAAATTAATTTCTCCATGGAGACCTTTAAAGTTGAGGCTTTAATTGGGATGTCCTTTAAATTTAACTTTTTATTTCACAAGTTAGAAAGCAAACAAGAGTCTTGTTTTTCTTCACAGCCCAATTACAAAAAAATCCGACAGTATTGCAATCACTGGAGAAATTTTGCTGATATTTATGATTCCTGGGAAAGTATAAAGCTCATCTTGGACTGGACAGCTTCTAATCAGGACAGAATTGTTAATATTGCTGGACCAGGGGGTTGGAATGATCCAGACATGGTAAGGACCTGCATCCTCCTGTTCAAGGCCCTGTGGTATACCTATTTGACAGTTTTTTGTTGTGATGATGGTGGTACTGAGGATTGAACCTTAGACCTCACATATGCTAGGCAAATGTTCTACTATTGAGCTACATTTCTGGTGTCCCTGGGAAGCTTTTTGTGAAAGTACTTAGATCAGGACAATATTGGAAAATGGCTTGTGTACAACTTTAAAGTGTTTTACCTTGTCTTATTTGGTTTCATTCTTTTCCCCAGTTAGTGATTGGCAACTTTGGCCTTAGCTGGGATCAACAAGTAACTCAGATGGCTCTCTGGGCTATCATGGCAGCTCCTTTATTCATGTCTAATGACCTCAGACAAATCAGCCCTCAAGCGAAAGCTCTACTTCAAAATAAGGATGTGATTGCTGTCAACCAAGACCCCTTGGGAAAGCAGGGGTATCGCCTCAGAAAGGTATGGTAAACAATGCTCTAAGGAGAAAACAGCTAAAAAACACCTGTGTTCTTTACAATTCAATCAGTGAGAGTCCTTGTTTATTTTGGGTGGCCAATTTACAATCCTGTCTGCCTCCTGTGTGCTAGGATTGCAGACTTGTACCACCATGACTTAAGTGTAGTAGCTTATTTTGTGGTAGCTTTTTATATTACTAGTAAAGTACCAAGTGTGTCTTGGACCTAAACTTGTTAGATATGAAGACATGAGTAATTTTCGAGATTATTTTTCCCTTGATTTTGATGCTAAAATCAGTAATAACATGGCTACTAAGAGAATGAATTTCCAAAATAAACTATCTTACAATTTCTTTTTCCTACAAGAGTTTGATCTGACAAGATTGAATGGTATCTTGTCAAGGAAGCTTGCTACAAGTTACAAAGCAATCACATTCTTTTTTTTTTTTTCTTGTTGGTTTTCAGGAAAAAGACATTGAAGTGTGGGAACGACCTCTCTCAAACTTAGCCTGGGCTGTAGCTCTGAGAAACCTGAAGGAAATTGGTGGACCTCTTTCTTACACAACATCACTTGTTTCTCTGGGTAAAGGCGTGGCCTGCAATCCTGGTTGCTTCATTACACAGCTCCTCCCCATGAAGAAGGATTACGGCTTCTATGGATGGACTTCCAGTTTCAAAACACAAATAAATCCCACAGGCACTGTTTTGCTAAAGCTAGAAGCTATTAGTGTAAATTGAAAAGCTTAGTACTTTGAAATCTATTTTTTCCAGTGTCTATTTCCTCCTGCCTGCTTCTTTGCATTTCCACTATAAAAGCTCTACTTCCTTGAATAAAATTTCCCTAAATTAGAACTTAAAAAAAAACTTTCTAAAAGCCAAAGAACAGTTTGGGAGTAAAGCTAAATAGACTAGGTAAGTCTGTGGTATTTACCTTTTTAAGTATCTTGGGCTTTTTTTATATCTTCCCTTGATATATATTCTTAGATTTGTCTTTGGATTTCCTGTAGTCAGCATATATTGTCTCTGTATATTATACAAAGTTTTAAGAATCATGTCAAGAGTAATTTATATTTTTATTTGATTGTTGTATCAGTTACTTAGAATGAGATTGCTAACAAGCATAATTGGGGATTTTTTGAATTTTTTGTTTAATCATAATTGTTAAATCACTGTGATATATGTCTTAATCTTTGGTGATATTAAGTGTTTATTTCATTTGCTTAGTTAATATACTATTGTTTAGACTGACTGGATATGGAATCATGAATAAAAGGACATTTTCTTTCATTAAAAAAATATGAGGGCTGGGAAGGTGGCTCAGTGGCTTGCCTTGCATGCATGAGGCCCTGGGTTCGATTCCTCAGCACCACATAAGCAAAAAGAAAAAAAGCCGGAAGTGGTGCTGTGGCTCAAGTGGTAGAGTGCTAGCCTTGAGCTGAAGAGCTGAGGTACAGTGCCCAGGCCCAGAGTTCAGGCCTCATGACTGGACCAAAATAAATAAATTTTAAAAAAGCTCTACTTTAATTGCTTTTGTGCTAGACTGTATAATAAATGCTTAAGATTTATTTGAACTATCCCAACCCTAAAAGTGGTTATCCACCAAGTCAAGACTTAAACCCAAGCTGTTGCTACTACACTTCTGCCTAATTGGTATTTGGAAGACTCAGAATTAGTGAAAAAGAAAACAAAATGTCAGGCACCATTGGCTCAAGCTTGTAATCCTATTTAGGAGGCTGAGACCTAGAGGATCAAGGTATGAAGCCAGCCTGGGCAGAAAAGTCTGGACTCAATTTCCAACTAGCCAGCAAAAAGCAGGGCTGGAGGCATGGCTCAAATGGTAGCACAGGAAATCAGCAAGCAAGCCAGCCAAGCAAGGATGAGGCCCAGTACCAGTTTTAAAAAAATAGAATCAGCTAAACAACATTTGCTAGGTGGGAATAACCTTCAAACTCATCTTCAGGTTTGTAACGTAGACCTAACAAATGTAGGTCATTTTACTTTATCCAAGGATAGTGATACATGAGGATGCAAGATACCCTCTCCACTTTAGATAATTGTTCTGTCTCACACATTGCTACTATGAGGTAGTAATATCCAAACTGGGGTACTCAGGCACAGATAATTTTCAGGGAAAATTCCTGGCATTCTAGATCCCTGCTTTTCTTTTTTTTTTTTTTTTGCCAGTCCTGGGACTTGAATTCAGGGTCTGGGCAGCACTCTACCACTTGATCCACAGTATCACTTCTGGCCTTTTCTGTTTATGTGGTAAGGAGGAATTGAACCCAGGGCTTTATGCATGCTAGGCAAGCATTCTAAACCTAAGCCTCATTCCTAGCCACAGATTCCTGCTTTTCTTAGTTTGAACAAATCTCAACACAAAGCTTCAAGGTCCTCCCTTCATATATGGAAACACACCTTTGTGCCTGAGCCAAAATTATGTTTAACTTCCAGCCTCATGCTATTTTGCTCACAAGTGGTGCTCCACAACTTGAGCATCACCTTAATTTCTACTTTTTGCTAGTTAACTAGAGATTAGTTTCATAGAATTGTCTGCGTTCACTGGCTACAAACTTGATTCTCAGATCTCAGCCTCCTGAATAGCTAGAATTAAGTGTTGAACTACCACTGTCCCAGTCAAAACACAAAAGTGAAGCCAGGCATTGGTGGCTCATTCCTGTAATCCTAGCTACTCAGGAAGCTGAGATGTGAGGATTGCTATTCAAAGCCAGCCCAGGCAGGAATAGTCCATGAGACTTATTATCCCTAATTAACTACCAAAAGGCCAAAAGTGAAGCTGTGGGTCACATGGCAGTGCACTAGTTTGTGCACAAAAGCTCAAGGACAGTGCCTCCTCCGAGCTTAAGCCCCAAAAGACCCACAAAAGTATGTGGAAACCATTTTACCTTCAATTACCAATTTTCATAAAAGCAATATCCAGTTGACAGAAACAGAATTGCTAACTACAGACTTAACTAGGTTTTGTTGCTGAATAAAGATCTAAACATCAGTAAACAGAAGGGTAGGGTAAGAGGAAAAGGATGTGTAATTTTAAACTACATTGAGACATGTTTAAAAAGGACACAAAATTCGTAGTTAAAATTTCTTAGGACGCTTAACACAGTAAATTATGTTCTTTGCAATTCTAGTAAGATGTATAGGATAAATGCTTAAGGGAGTGTTCTAAAGATGTGATACCTAATAGAGTATATTATACATAAGGAACAGGGCCTGTGTTAATAAGATGCCTTAAGTATCAAAAGTATGAAATTATTTACCTTTTAGTAAACTTTTATTAGTCTCTTTGGATGTTACTGCTCTGCTATTATCCTGGAACCTAAGTCTCTGTAACCATATAACCAGCATCATTTGCTTTTTATTTTTATTTTGTGGTTCTGGGAATTTAACTAGTGGCCACTTGAGCCCTACCTCTATCTCTGGATTCCCAAGTCACTCTAATTTCAGGTGAGCCATCTGGCTAACATTTTTGCTTAACACCAAAGGGAATCCCATCAAAACACTAGATGTAAACTTAGCCATTCACATCCAATGAAATGGAAGTACTAAGAAACATGAAAAACATATCCAAGGAGAATTTTGATGATTATTCCCTCCCAAAAGACCAAAGCAACCAAATGAAGTGAATTTGACCTCACAATTTTATTGTCTTCATAACAAAAGTTGGAGCTTAAAACTGGATCACTTGCCCCTGTAACAGAATAGGAAAAGAGTTGTTTTACAAAGTACCACCATTCTATCAAGAACATTAGTTTTAAGGGGATCAGCATACAAGTCTGCTTATTGTCCTCTTTCCTTTTGAAAGCTCACACCAAAAATCTGAATCATTTTAGGTATCACCATTTGCATGCAATTTTATGTCTTCAACTTAAGGACTATGCACATAGTCCCATACGTTTAAAAACTACAAAATTGGGTTCCACGCACTTAGGAAAACTCATGTTTTAGAATGTCCAAGTACAAATCATCACTGCTCCAAATTAAAGCATAAAGCTGTTGTTGTAAAGAACATACCTTTCTCTTTTTATCTCCACCCAATTCAAAATGTTTGCATCTCTTAATAGCTAGCATTCTCTTAGATCTACAGTTGGGCTCAACACATTCAAGTCTCAGCACAATCTTCTTTGTAGTCTTAGCCTGCAAAAAATTTTTTTTCACAAATTACCTACAATTGTACCTTGAATTTATTGTTTAATGAGACTACTCAAAAACACATTCTCCACTAATCCTCAACTTTTAAAGCCCACCTCTTTATAGAGTTCTGGTGCTAGTTTGTAGTTATCAGAACCTATCTAAAAAAACTTAAACCTCAACTACATAGTGAGACCTTCTATCAAACAAAACCAAAACCTAGCCAAAGGCATTATATAGAATTTAGGAAACCAGTGGAAGGACTAAATGGCTACTCTAAGGGAAGACTTTTTTTTTTTTGGGAGGGTAGTGAGGCTTGAACTCTGGGTCTGGGCATTTTCCCTGAGCTCTAAGTTCAAGGCTAGTACTCTACCACTTGATCCACAGCACCACTTCCGGTTTTCTGAATGGTTTATTGGAGAAAAGAGTCTCAAGGACTTTCCTGAAGAGGCTGGCTTTGAACCGTGATCCTCAGATCTCAGCCTCCTGAGTAGCTAGGATTACAGGCATGAGCCACCAGTGCCCAGCAAGAATTTAAACGTTTTTTTTTGTTGTTGGAGTTCTGGGATAGAACCTCAGGCATCTTCCAGGAGATAGCCAGCAAGAGCTTAACCAGTGAGCTATACCTTCAGCCGGTCAAAACAAATTTTTACTGCAACCAAGGTTAGAGGATTCAGACATGACAACACTGACCAAGATTTACTTCCACCTCAGGGCACCATCACTTTTTGCCTCTTTGGAAGCTTAACAGAAAATTAAAATACTGAGGCAGTTCAGTACTGTTGAGCAAAGTAAGAGCTAAGTAACACTTCTAAGTCCACTTACTAGGTACATCACTACAGGCAACTGGACTAACTTTGCTGAGATCAATTCTATCATGTAGTACAACAGATGACAAATACAACATCGTTACAATTAATTAGCATGGCAATTAGTAATAACCACTAACTTTTTTCCGGAAAATTGGCTTAGTCTGACCGCCATAGCCACTCTGCTTCCTGTCATAACGACGCTTTCCTGGGGAAGAGGGGGCAGAAGTTATTTGTTATGGTGTGGCAAAGATCACAAACAATGAAGTAAACACAGAAATGAAGCCTGAGACACTCTATCTAGGGGAGGGAGAGCAATCAGAAGGGGGTGACTGGAATACATTGTAAACACGTGGGAATTTAACAATGACATCCTTTCCCCTACCTATCACAACAGACACTTGGATAAATCTTGTAGTTTTTTTTTTATCTTGGGCTCTCTTGCATTAATATGGGGGCAGCAGGGGGCGGGTATAGAACATACATCAAAATCAACTCACTGAGCTCAGAGTAATACCAGCACCTGGGAAACTGAGAACAGCCTAGACTAGTTGAGATCCTGTCATCTCCCCTCCCAATCACCCTCTGGCAAGTAAAACAAATCACATAGAATCATCTTACCCTGGGCATACAGAGAATCCTTGCCCTTCTTGTACTGTGTTACTTTGTGAGGTTGGTGCTTGCCACACTTCTTACAAAAAGTACGGCGGGTTTTAGGAACGTTAACCTAGTAAACATTCAAAACGTGCGGTTATTGGAATACGGTGCCCTTCTGGACATAGCTGAAGTTGACGAATACTACAAAGACTGGGTTGTTAGCGCACAACGATTCCAGAGTAGCCGAGATTCCCCACACTCGCTTCAAACACTGCGCCCACCGTTTAAACCCAGGAAACAAGAAACCTTATAAGCCCCACCCACGACTCACAGACCCCACTTCAGTTCCGCGCCCCGGAGATCGGTTTTTTTCAGGGTCCCTCCCACCACTTTCGGATTTCTTTGGTACATAGGGGCCATGCAGTGGGCCAGCTTAATGGGACAATACCGACCGATAATACCGTGGTAGATGGAATGAGGATTAAGATGGATTGTTACCAGAGCCCCAACCAAGAGCCTACCATGATGGCAGGAAGCCTGCAGCAGCGCCAAAAGAAAGAGGTAGGGCTGGAAACGGAAGTATATAGGAGCTTCCGGGCCGGACTTCCTCCGGAGTCGGAAGGAGCAACCATAGAGTCTAAGGTTCCTTGCATAGCGCCATCTGACGGTTCAGAGGATCCAACGGAGAGCGGGGCGGGGTCGGGGGGGGGCGGTGGTGTTCCACCACCAAGTCGTTACGTCTCACTCTACTTCCTCCCTCCCC